GTCTGACGGTGGTGACAAAACCTACTCTTTCACATGATATGCATGAGTTGTTCACATTATAGCCATCTTGTTTCCCCTCTGTTGCTAGCTACTTCAGACCTCTTCTTAAAAAGTATACAATTATGTCATAATCTAATCTAATATTTTCTATACAAAAGAGACGGTGTTGACATGTTATGGTTGTGACAGTAGCAGTGCCCAAATATATGAACAAGTTTAAGAGAAAATAGCAAAATTACGGGAGCTTGAGTGATCTTGAAGCATGCTGTAAAGCTAAAGGTTTGAAAATGGGGTATGGAGGAATGTAGTTGACCTTGTAGTTGCCTGATTTTATTGCTTTTTATAAATATCTGACGGTGGTGACGAATATGTGGGACACATTTTGAACAACCACAAAATAATAGTAAATATTGTTCAAAACTCACTGTTTGTAGTTTTTAATACATATTACAATGTACTCTTTTGTGTGGTAAATATATTATTCAATTCAATTATTCCTTTTTGTTTTTTTAATCAAGTTGAAATGATTATCTCCTATCCGAGGACAGCTGATTTTGTAGGCAATGGGCCAGCATATAATCATTAAAATAATAAAAATGAAAAATAAACCTATTAAAGAACCTTACATATGTGCAAAGGACCCCCTGATTATAAACTTTATTCTTTTCATTCATGAAAATGTTATTAATTTCCAACAGAATTAGCACTTTTTTTAGTGGGACATGTTTTTGCCAAAGTTTCAAGAATCAGTGAAGTACACATTGATGGCCTAAGACACGAAACGAGCGGTTTGTGTGAGAAAACGAACAGTATTTATAAGTTTTACCTCTTGTAACCTCAGCCACCTCCAAGTAACAAGAGTTTAAAACGATGTAAATACTGTTCGTTCGTAATTGAAAGTACACTTACAAGTATACTACTAGTGCATTGATATTACTATAGCCTACTTACTACATAAATAGTATACTTATAAAACATACTTGAACTTTTCTTAGGTATACTTAAGAAAATGAACTTGAAGTATACTTATTTTTTGTAAGGGACAGGACAGGTCAGTGACATTTTAACACTTGGTGTAAATGCGTTGCCCAGTCTGACTCTCTTAAACGGCAGTGCCCAGCAAGGACTAATGGGGCGTGGAGAGAAGCTATTAGCTGTCCTGGTGCCCTTCTGTGGATCATGAGCAAATGCGTTTATTTTTATTTGTCTTCTGCTTCTCCTTTAGGGCAGTTGTGGTCTAATGGTTAGTGAATCAGGCTGGTAAAACAAAGATTGTAGGTTTGATTCTCAGTAGCGGCAGGAAATGACTGAGGTGCCTTTGAGCACGGTACCTAACCCCCAATCGCTCCCCGGGCGCTGCAGCAAAATGGCTGCGCACTGCTCCGTGTGTGTTTGTGCAGACCATGGTTTGAGTGTTCTCTACTCCTAATGTGTGCACTAATTTGGATAGGTTAAATGCAGAGGACAAACTCTCCATATGGGTTACCATATTTGGTAATATGTCCATTTTACTTTCCTATAGACAGAAAAGTCAGAGTTTGACAAAACTAAGTGAACCAAAGATGTCCCCTCCCGGTCACAGTCAATTTGTGACGTTGTTTGGGACAAAATAATTCACTTGAAGCACAAAGTAACAAGATTTGATATTGCTAATGGTGTACTATCCAGTCTAACATTTAACCATTCAGAGATAAGTCAGATGGGCCAACTGAATCACACATTTAGGCCAATAACTCTCACTAGCTGTGGTGAGTCTATTTCCCTGTGGCGGTTGGCTGAGTCAGTGCTTGGCCATCATTCCAGGATCTCAGCTGATGTAAGGATGCCTGTGCTGATCAGGCCAGTTTGGAGAGCATTTTAATGTGGATTTGGCTCATCTGGAATGCAAAGAGCCCCCCTGATACATCAAACCATTCATCCTTTATGAGCAGAGTGAGCAGGCAGAAACCAGAGGTGAATTAAACATCACTGCTATAGGACAGCCTGGCTTAAGTTGTATATTTCCTTGCCGAGCACATGCAAGCCCAATCACTTACACACAATCCCTCAGAACGTGAATTCAATGGTAAATAGAAGTGTTTAGAATACCTAAATATGTATTACTTGCATTATCACAAGCTGGGTAATACTAAATCACAAACCTCTGACTTCCCTATATCTGAGAGACATATATTAGACATTGATCCGCTCTTATTTTATTCATATCTCTCTGAATATGAGGCATTAGTATCAGTGACAGGGACAAATCCTTGCGGATTATCTGTTCAAAAAAGAATTGTTTAGGTGAAACTTTTGATGGTGCCCATATACAATTATCTGAGGAAACAGGAATGTCTGATAAAACTTCAATGAATCTGTCACAGTTGAAAGTTGAGTTGTAATGCATCTCTTTTAAAGACATCTGCTTGGGGCTTTTCTCAGTGCGTATCTGGTTGAAGTTCATCTTTTTTAAACTCATACCCATCTGTGAGGCATGAGCATGTGGCATGATCAAGAATGGCTGCTTATCTATAATCAGACTTTCAGTAATGTAAATGTTCCTTCTACAGAAACTCTTTATTGGGAGGAATTTCAATTTAAACGGAATAGTATTTCAAGATTACATTTTGAGACTAAAATTAATAGAATTTTGCAGCTGTGGACATAATCAGTACTGACATAAAAAGCGTTTCTCAAACTTTTATCGGCAATTGTAAAATCAATAAGATTTATTCAGAATATTTCCCTGCATTTATTGCATGTTACTGTATATGTAGCTGAGTTTTAGAGTACTACTCTGCCACCTTCTGGTTAAACCAACAGCCTATTCAAGTCACACCGCCTAAAGCAGTGCTTCTCCCTTTTTTGGTCTAGAAAAAGTGTCAAAAAAAAAAAATCTTTCCATCATCTACTCACCTTCATGTCATTCAGACTCTTTTCCCCTGTAGTCTATCTATGCATCTCTTGCACTAAACAAGTCATTTGAGGAACATTGTATTAGAAACACACTGAAATTTAAGATCTATTCTGCCACATTAATGATATGCAGGGACATTTTTGTTTGCTTTCAGAGATAAATTAAGCATGCCCAATAGCACATACAACCAAATCAGGAAAATTAGGCCTGTAAGAAAGAAGAACCTTTTCATAGTAATGCAACACGAAATGCAACAGCAATTTAACAAATCCAACAAACACAGCAAAAGAATATTCCATAACAGGAGTAGGATGAAGAAAAAAATCTTATAAACTCCTACCCCATTCTTACAATAAATAAACTACAAATTAGATGGCCTCACCGACATGACAAAAAATACTATTACTATTACTATTATTACTAATTCAGCTTACACAACACTAAACAAACAAAAACAACAATGATGCAATAATGACAAATCTAACAACAAAAACAACAAGACCATCATTGTTGTTTCAATTTTAACAATTTTCACATTCATCTTTATATAAATTATCTTCTCTTTATACTTGTTTTTAAATTGTAGAATGTTTGAACAACATTTTAGATCATTTTCTATAAAATTCCATCTTTTCATACCAGAAACTGAATCAAAGGGTTGTTTAAAGTCATTATTTCTTCTGCTTGTCTCACTATTTATAGTGAAAAGGGTTTGCAGTCCATGCGGTAACAGGCAGTGTTTAGCTTTATGAACAACTAATAAAGTTTGTAAAGAAACCAAATCCTTCAATTTGAGTAGTCCTGACTCCAGAAATTATTCATATAGCCTTTTTTTTTTGCAAAATAAACAAGGGCACTAAATTAGTGAAATAAGAACTACCCCAAATCTCCAAACAATACATCATCAAATATGGCAAAATAAAGGAACAACATAAGATTCTCATTGCCTTATAATTTAACATAAACTTTACTTACTCATAACGGGAATGTTTTTACAAGTTTTATTTCTTAAATAAGCAATGTGTGACTTTCATTTAAATTTTTCATCAATGACTACTCCTAAAAACCTAAAGTCTGACACTCTCTCAATAGTTATTCCATTAAAAGTCAAACTAACAGTTTCAGGACATTTTTGATTTGTAAACAAGATAAATTTTGTTTTACTTAAATTTAACAGCAGTTTATTTTTATTTAACCATTTCTGAAGAAGGACCAATTCTTGTTCAGTAGTTTTCATTCATATTTTTATTTTCTTCCCCGATACAAAAAAGAAATTTGTATTTGTATTCCGCAAAAAGTAAAATCTTTGATTCATCACTGAGATCATTAATAAAGAAAATAATTTAGGCCCTAGTACCGAGCCTTGAGGGACTCCACACTGTATTATTTCTAACTTAGATTCATGGCCTATATATACTATACAGATTGTTGTCTATTTACTAAATAACTAATAATCCAGTTTAATATTACACCTAATTCCATATGTCTGTAATTTAGATATCAATATACCATGATCAAGAGTGTCTAAGGCCTTTTTAAGATCAATAAAAACACCAATCGTATGAATTTTATTCTCCAATTGTGTAGTAATGTCTTCTGTGATTTTCATCAAAGCCATAGCTGTTGTGCGGGTGCTTCGAAACCCAAACTGATTATCATGTATCAAAGAATGTTTTTCAAGAAAACAATCACATTTTTTAACAAAAAGCTTCTCCAGAATTTTTGAAAATTGAGAAAGCAAAGATATAGGCTGATTATTTTTGAGACTATGCCTATCACCAGATTTAAAAAGGGGAATAATTTTGGACAACTCCACAGCACACTCTCATCAAACATTGCGTTCATCCACACTGTGCCATGTCGAGAGTGTTGAAGTAGAACTCGCGTAAAGTTGATAATTCCGCGAATAACTGCAATTGCAGATTTCGAACAGAGATGGCGACAAAGAGGATAATACCGGACTGCAGCTTTAAATAAAAGTTCATTTGGATGAATCAATATTCTACACATGAAATGGAAATGTATCTAGTTTTGAAAGGTCTAAAAATCGTATACATGAATTAAAAGATTTATCTAAAGTCAAGATTATTTGAAATCAAGCCAATTTTGACAAAGATCACTTTTAATGAGGACATTTATTTCAAACTAAAAACAAATGTCACAATAAGGTGCTTTGTAAATGCTACATTTGAAAACATGTTGGTGTGATGTGTCAAACATTAGAATTGAAAATAATACCATCAGATTGATGCCATCAACAGTTTTTGGCACTACACAAATGACTTGGGGACAATACTGTTGTCACTGATACATAATTATTAAACATTTACATAAACATAAGTGCTTATCGCAATCACAAACTGCTTTATTTAGACTTTTGAATCTCCTTTATAGCCGCTTCAAGAGGATCACCTGGTGGTTTAGGAAGATCAACCTGATTAATGCGATACATTTCATTAAGTCCACACAACACGTGGTCACTTTTGCATTCTTCAGCAGGTATGGTGAAGTTCTGAAGGAGCCACTGCTCTCGCTCTAATCTGAGGGTCAAGGCAGAGGCCGCCGGGCTTGTTTCATGGGGTGTGAGCGCAGCCGCAGAGGAAACACAGGTCTGATCATGGATGCTGATGCTGTCCATCGAAGAGCACATCTCTCTAGAGTTGGTGCTGCCCATTTGAGGACTCTTCTTCTTGGATGATTTTGTTGGACTTTCATGCTCACATTCATACATGGAGCTGTGATCAGGTGATCCTACATCTTTAAGTGTACAAATGGATTCGTTGTCATCCGGAGGAAGGCTGCTGCCAATCGTGACGACATCTTCCGATGCAACTCGGACGAGTTTCAAACCCTTGCCGCGTGGGCCACGGTAAGAGTCGGTGCTCATGTCTAGAAGAATGCAGTCAGAATCTTGATCCATCTTAGAATTCCCATTCAAAGTATCATGATCTCCATCCGCATCATCTGAATCCCCGTCATTGTGACTAAGACGGGCTATTTTTGACTCTGGAGAGTCAAACACCACCCCTCGAAACTCGGGACGTGAGGTTCTTTGAAGCACGCCTGGTATGCCGTTTGTGGAGGCCTGAATATTAGAATTGTTCATCATGTAGTGCTTGACCGACTCTGGAATCACCACCTCTTTAGACTTCTTGCGGGGCCTCAGAAGGGAAGAAAAATAAGGCAGGCAGTTGCCCACTATAGGCACTAGTGAGACAGGATGCAGGGCAGACACAAAGTCCTCTAGCTCCTGGTAGGAGGAATGATCGGAGTATGGCACCACATAGACATTAGGGTGGCAGGAGACCATAGGGCGACTTGTGGGCAATATAGCAATGGTAGGCTGCACTTTATTCCATGCCAGCAAGTTGGAGGCGTTGATCACAGACTGAGAGACCACCCGAATACGGCCCGCACCAGAGTCAGTGGTGAAAACGTCAGGAAGCTCCAGAAATCGCAAGGTTTCCAAACGCTCTCTATCCACCTCCACCCATGTTTTAAACTCCAAAGCCAGCTCCACCAACAAGGACTCTTTACCCAGAGAGTAAAGACCTAATAACAGATAGCAGACTCATTAATGATTATTGCCATTTTAAAAGATCAAACTCAAAAGTGTGAGATGAATTCAGTCACTTTTCACAGTATGTTTTCTACATAACATTTATAAGTCGATAGATTAATATGAAAAAATGTGACGTAAAGTTTGGGGTCGCCAAACCCCAAATAGATATTTTTGAAATGTGTGTCTTAAGTAATTCAAGTAAGTAATTTATTCATGTGATGGCAAAGGTAAATCTTCAGCAGCCATTACTCCAGTTTTCAGTCTCACATGATCCTTCAGAAGTCATTCTAATGATAATTAGTACGTACACATAAGGCAATTCTTAATATTATCAATGTTGAAAAGAATCCCGCAGCATACTTTAAAGAATAGAAAGTTACACATTTTGTTATTACAAAAGCCTTTACTGTCACGTTTGATCAATTTAATGCATCCTTGTTGAATAAAAGTATCAATTCCTTACTGACCCCATATGAAACGACATAGAAGTAGGTATAATGAGAGAGAGAGTCCAAAAAAAAATATTTGGAGCCTCTTTGTTGTTTACCGCTTTAAATGCTCAAGCTCTGGATTCTGATTCTCGATGTTTTTGTTCATCAGCTGAAAAAAAAAACGTTTCCAAAAATATCGTTCCTTTGTGTCGTTATCGTTGTAATTGGTACGAAACTGTTTTGTAGAAGATGTGGCCTTCCCTATTCTTACAGAATTAGAACGATTATTAAAACTTTATACCGTAGTTATTATCATTACAGTTACTGTATGGTATATGCTTGTTACGGTAGTCTGTGTTACACTGTGTTTGGGTGTACATCAATGACATTACTTAATGTTACAGTCACATAATTTTATCCTACATTTACAGTAGCTTTAAAAGTAGGTATTATTTGCAACAACTAGGAAATGATGATGACATCATCATGTCATCTTTAAACTAGACTAATTTGGCCAGTCTCGCTAAAAGTGTGTTGTTTTAATAAAGGTAGTACTAGTAGGTAGTTCGAAAATCGAAAAGGGAGGACGCATTGAGCAGTGATTTACAGTAATATATACCGGTGTGAAAATTTCCTACACACTACATCACTACACATTGAAATCATTTTTTGATTTTTTTTGTAGAAGCACATGAAACTGTGTTACAAGAAATTCTTTAATGCTGAAAGTGTGAGAGTCTTACCAATAACGACGGCGTATCCAGAATGAGCCCTAATGATCTCTTTAATTTGCTGAGTGGCTCGCTGTCGAGAAGGTACAGCTCGAGTGGGGTCACAGTTTGTGTTGTCCAGATACAGCACGTCAATGGTAGTTTTGTTCCTCAGACAATCCTCACGGAGCATGGATGGGGTATAACGGAAGTCACCTGAGATAAAACACATTAACTAATATTAAAATGTAATCTCAATATGTGACAGTGAGAATCAATAACTTTCTTAAGAAAAACTATGAAAATATTGTGCATTTCCATAATATTAATTTTCACCAGTGTAGAGTCTGGTGCCAAAGTATCCCTCGAAGAGGAACATAACTGCCCCAGGACAGTGATTGGCATCTATTAGAGTAACGGTCAGCCGCTCTTTTCCAAGATCATCTAGCAACAGCATGTGAGCTTCCCCAATCTCCAAAGGACGAATCCATTTCTGTCTGACCTGTAGATGACAAAAACATGACACAATTTTTCATTCCTACTGTACCAGTTTAAGCCATTTAGCATACATAATGTACTTATTCATCTCTGGATATTATTAGGTCCAGGATTAAACATCATCTCTATGGAATCTCTTTATAATGTTTCATCCATTTTGTTTTTAGACCTCTGAGGTTTTCAAACTTAAGGACCCCCAAAATATATTATTCCCTTTGCGAAGGGACCCCTTCGTAAATATAAATAGAGCTAAATACATTCATGCAATGTATAAAGACCCATTTATACCGAGTGAGAAAACAAATTACATTATAAAAAACATGCTGTTTGTAAAAATGAAATAAAACAGGCTTTCTAAAGCATGTGCTTGGCTTTGGTATTGTATATCCATATAAATCACAAACCATAGGAATAACCATACACCATACTGTATGGTTACAGTACCAAAGCCAAGAACATTCTTACAATATTGACCAACGATTAATGTTCTGTATAAACCTGAAGAGAAACGTTAAGTCAATAAAAAAAATTGCATAGCACTTTTCATTATAGACTAAATGTCATTCCATATAACATATTTTACAGTTGACTGATGTATAACATTGTTGTTATTGTTAAAAAAAGTATATAAATAATACTAAAACTGATATATAAAAAATATATATTGTTTTTAATGTTCCCCAGAAGTCACCTGCAGTTTGAGATGGAGCAGTTTGGCGGTGAGGGGTGAGCAGTAGATGGGCCTGTGACTCCAGGAGGATGACAGGCCAGAGGTGTGATCCGCGTGCATGTGAGACAGAAAAAACAGTCGGACGTGATGGCACTTACGGAGCTGCCAACAGTCTACGGCTATGGGAGTGTCCGGTAGGACTTTTCCGTTCATTTTTTTGCTTTTGTGATGAGCTCAGGCGGTAACGTTACCTACTGCTTTTTCCTAAAGGGATTTTCTTCAAAAGCCGTATTTCAGCAGCACTGGTTTTGTTGGCGTTTAAAAAGCGTCACTTCCAGCAGCGCTGTCATAAATGTAAACACACAATATTCAATATGCGCTGGGAAGTGTTAGTAATGTAACAGTGTTACGGACAGCTTAAGCAAGCAGCGTTAGCAGTAAGTTAAAGGACTAGCAGCATCGCATCTAAGTTTCACTTTGCTTATGCAGGCACAAGTCATAAAAAAGGATAAATGTAACTGCATGCTTGCCAGTCTTTGTTTATCCGAGTGTGTTAGCAGGCCGGTTAGCCGGTCAGACGATGTGCTCTATTTTTGCAGATGAGCGCCATGTCGCGGTGTGTTGTTTACCAATTCAAAAAAAATTCTGCGCGCTATGAGATTTGCGACTGGGTTGTCCGCCAAAAAATACGTTTGTTGTCCACGCCTCCAAATCGCTCTCAAGCTCATGTGACGTCACTGACTTCCGTGATGTGCATTTTTCTGCATAGGATTTTCTGCTGACTGCTTCTTCTTCTTCTTCTTCTTCTTCTTCTTCTTCTTCAGAAGAAGACTTCTTCTGTTGTTAAAATGGCGGTTGGCAAACCAAATTAAAGGTGCATTGATGTGCAGGTTTCGGGTCTTTTGCTTGAAATCAGAAATCGGAATCAGAAATGCAGAAATCGCTACTTCCTCCAAATATACATAACTTATATCAGTTAATTTCAATTCTCATTTGTGTTTATTAATGATTGTGGTCTTTCTTTCTTTCTTTCTTTCTTTCTTTCTTTCTTTCTTTCTTTCTTTCTTTCTTTCTTTCTTTCTTTCTTTCTTTCTTTCTAATTGGCTTTGAGAAGCAGTTCATAATGTAATAAAATCACATACGGTAATACGGACATATTATTTTCACTTTAACACGTAACCACTGGGCGGTGCTGTCCGCTCAATTACTTTCACTTATTTTATTTATATTCCCTTTTCAAATACAATATATATATATATATATATATATATATATATATATATATATATATATATATATATATATATATATATATATATATTAGGCTAAACTGTTTTTAAATCTTGGACAATTGGCTTAATAATAATGGAATGCTTATTAAGTGCCTATTACCTCCACTAGAGGTCAGTATAAAAGCCTGTGAGAAACGATGTTGAAACGATGGCTAAAATAATTTATGAAAATCATTTGTAATTTATTCATTTTTATGACACATTCATACAAGTTATAATCATTTACCAAACACATACAGACACATAGGCTACTATAATAATAACAGAACAGAATAATATAATAAAAAAGGCAACTTGTGCACAATTGTGTTTCATACGATCATATTTCATATTGCATAATATGCATATATTTATTTATTTTTATTTTTTGTCTCAAAGCTGTAAATGTTTAGCACTGTTCCAACCATTTCCATTATTAGCTTTCATTTTGAACATACAGTAATTGGGTTAATTGATATATTTTTTCCACTTAAGATATTTAAAAAAAAAAAAAAAAAAAAAAATTAATAAAAACCGTGCCTACCAACCCTGTCTCCCCTACCTATTCATGTGGACCCCTGGGTCCTGTGTTATTTCTAATACTAAACTTCCTAGAAAGTAAGAAGTTTCTTAATAATAAAGTTCTTCCTTGGCTTCTTTCTGCTCACACATAAGGAATGGTTGCATAATGGAGGCTTTGAGACAAACAAAAGTTGACACTAACAGCTAGAAGGCAAATGTGCTGACAGTAAAGATGATGAATGACGATGAACCACTTCCATTGATTGTAAACTGACATTTCCTGTTTTCGAAAACATTGAGAACTGCGTGGGGTTCAGGGACAAGAAGCCCCCACCTCCTCACTCAGGCAATGCATTACCACTTATGTATTCTCTGTCCGGTCTGTCTGATGCAGTGCAGTAAAAGCAAAATACTAGAATTAATTAGCCCATTGTTCCCATTTACTCACAAATTTTTCATGTACAAATGATTGTAATTCCACAACTTTTAAACAATTATGAACATAATCTACTTGGACATGGTGCATATAACATTGTTATGTACAGATTAAATACATGTTCAGTTTTTTATGTCAGTATAGACCTGGTATTACATCCACATGTGAGATCAAAAAAGTCCGAAAATGTGAAAACTCCAAAAATGTTGACTAAACGGGTCAAAATCGAGGCTACACTGAAAAAGAAGATTCTTGTTCATTTTCACTCGTGCTTCAACACTTTATTTGGAAGGCCAAGAAAGAAAGAAAGAAACATGACTTTCACATGTTAGTTCCTAACAAAATATTGACGCACAAAATTAAATGTAAAGTTAATAAATATTTTTTAATGTTTTTTTAAACACTAAGTTCTTTTATTACTTTTCAGATTTAGAAAATACATTTAAATTAGGCCTGTGAAAAGATTAATCGCGATTAATCGCATCCAAAATAAAAGTTTGTGTTTACATATATGTGTGTGTGTACTGTGTATAATTATTTTGTATGTATAAATACATGCATGCATGTATATTTATATATAAAATAATCATATTTGTATATCAAATAAATTATATATAAATATATACATGCAAATATTTCTTAAATATATACATACATGTGTGTGTTTTTATATACAAAATAATTATACACAGTACACACACATATACAAAGTATTATGTAAACACAAACTTTTATTTTGGATGCGATTAATCTTTTCACAGCCCTAATTTATATGTGTGTGAGGTTTCAGACAATTTGCCAAAAATAATTGAATATAATTGAAAATCACAGCACCCTAAAAAAGGTCAAAGGTCAAATGTATAGAAAACTCATTTTTGGAAAATAATTTTATATGTAAAATATTAAATCTTTTTTTTCTAGCTTTGATTTTAGAATTAGTCAAACTAGTTTATTACTGTATCTGTTTTTATGAAAAATTGTTCATATTCTGCTTAAAATGCCCTTCTGTGTTATACAGGAGAAAAAAAGTCATGGTTTGGGATGAGCGTGTATAAGTGATTACAGAATATTGTTTTTTGGTAGGTTTATCTCTTTAAGATAGATAGAATGAGGTTTACCCAGTAGTGTTACAGTACATACTCATTCCAATCCTTCCAATGAGTCCGTTGTTTGTTTTGTTGAAAAAAGTATAGCTAAATACTTCTATAAAACTGAAAGGAAATACACTATTGGATTTGATCTTTTATTAACCCTGAATATTCAAATAGTGTAGATTTAGTCTTGGGTACAGACAGTTCCAGTTTTTGTTTTCCGGTCACAAGAAAAAAGAATAAATAGCACTTCAGTGCATCAGTTTCCTCTAATCTAGCTTTGTAATGACATGCCCACAATCATACACATACACACACATTTGCAAAAAATCAAGAGAACCTCAATGTAACTGTGAGAGAAATGCAGTGTCAGCTGCCTGCAGAACATATTTTTGTCCTTCACAATAACGGACCAGTGCTCAGACACTCCATAATAGGATAAGAAAAACCTGTGTCCACCTCCTTGTCACTGTTTTTTTAATCCTCTTCCTGTCATTGTGCACAAAGGTTCAGAATACAAGTAGAATATCCAAGAACCTTGAGTGTGTACGGTGCTCTGATATCTGCTCTGCATACATTCAGATTGAACCAGTTAACTGGTAAATAGATACAGTACACAATATGCAGTTGTGTGCATTATTTCAGCAAATATTTCTATATTTTTATCATTTAATTGTTCTGTCAAATTCATTTTACTTCAAAACATTCTTCAAGGCCTCTCTCCATGAAGCAAGATTTCCTGTGATGAACTTCCTTTTATGAACGATGCGCTCTCATTCCAATAAATGGACATTTCAGCCTGAACAGTCTGTGGTGAGCTCTGATTTACATTCAAAAGAGACAAACCGAGACATGACAGCTTTGTCTGTCCAGCCAGCAGAAGGCGTTTGAGCTTCCCAGAGGATGCAGGGAAGTCACTCAGACGTTATGTTCCAAAGCAAGATCTGGGCGAGCAGTGGCGGTGGCGATATAGTGATTGTTATCCAGTCTCTCGCTTGGCTGGCTGTCGGGAGGAGGAGCCTCCTTGCAGCAGAGGTACTGTTTCCAGATCCTCTGGAACGCTGTGCGAAATTTGTTGATGCGGAAAGCATAAACGATGGGGTTGACTGCAGAGTTGCCATGCGAGAGCAGAATGGCTATATAAATGAGGAACATGGGCTTCTCATACTTCGGACAGAAGAGCGTGATGCAGTTCATAATGTGGAGAGGGAGCCAGCTAACGGCGAACAGGAAAAGGACTAGCGCCAGAGACTTCGCCAGCTTCAGTTCTTTGTCGTAATACTTGTTCGGTTCAGAGTGGCTGGACACCTTCTTATTCAGCTGCTTGTGGATCATGTAGAAGATCTCCGAGTAAATGATGAGCATGAAAAGAAGAGGGGGGAGCACCCAACCAAAGAAGTTGAAGTAGACCATGTACTCCATGCTGATGACGTTCTCAAACTGGCAGGTGATGCTGAGGTCAGGGCCGATTGAGCGGTTGTTACGTTGCAGGTTGTGTAAATTGTTCCAGCCCAGCATGGGAGTCAAGCCAATTATGAAGGCCACCGTCCAACACATGAATACTGCAATTCTAGCTCGTTTGGGAGTGACCACTCGCTTATAACTACAAAACAAGAACACAAGAGTCAAACAAGTTTTCAATTTGAATCCGTTTCTCATTATTTGCAGTATTATAAATGCAGTACTTCAAAATGTGCAGTTAAGAAAACATACATATTCACAGTCTCCATTACAAGAAAATAAAAGGCTAAATTCTGTGTAGTTAGTACAGAATAGAGTCCGACCGATAAAGGATTTTGAAGGCCGATACTATACAAATATTTTTGGATTTTAAAATCCGATATATCGGTTGATAATTTTTTTGGGTTTTTTTGTTAATGTTTTGTTGCAAGATATATTAAAGTTCTGATAAATAAAGTAATAATTAGTCCCTACATTGCCTTATAAGCTACCTTATAATTACAATGTCAGCTTGCTTATCCCTTTACCTGCACAATCAAGCTATCAAACCATTTTCAATCATCAGTTGCTGCCTGCCTCCTAAAACCTACTATTTAGCGATTCTAAATCCATTACAGAACGACAGTCTGCAACGCACACAGATAACTTTTATGCACAAGATACGTTTGATACTTTTTCTCTATGTCTAAATGTTCACTCCTCGCAAGTCTAACTTACATTTTACAATGCAGGGACTGTAACTAGAGATACGCTAGTTATAAACACAGTAATCATTACTTTATTTAGGCAGAAACAGTTCATTGTGGTTTCCAAGCTCATTAATGTTAACGTTAGCGGTCTTCCACTGATGATAGTGGCATTAGCTAGCTTTGTGGTTAGCTAGTCTATGATGAGCCATAATTTAGCAATAGATAGCGTCATACTGCAAATTGTAAAACATACATTTTCAATATAACAGGCCAAGGAGAGATGATTGAAGCGTGTTTCGTCCGTTTTTATTTTTTTATTTTTTTAAATATTTTGGAAAATGCCTAATATCGGCCGATAATATCGGCTGACCAATACATTGTTCTGGCTCTAGTACAGAATTATGACTACTTTGCAAATCACTGTGAAATAAGGTGTACTGTATAGTCTTTGACTGACCAAGGGCAGCTCCTTTGACATGCCATGTAACTTTAAATTAAGAGCCAAATTGTGACAAAGTACCACCACCACAAAGCTTGTTTCAGTCCAACCCACTCCCTCTCGTCCTTCAATACAGGTGCATTTTCTCTAAAATACCACCTTTCATCTGAGATTCTAGGTCTCTCTCCAATCTCCTTGTCTTTTGTGTGACTGATTTCACAATAAAGGTACCTGTGATTTCATGGCAGACTTTCAAGTTTCTGCCGCTGTCTGACTGAATTCTACACAAAGACACTTTGAGTCAATACTCCCTGTTTGTTAAGATTCAGTAGATGTTTTTTTTTTTTTTGTCTGAATCATTGCTTGAATGTGCTTTTATTAATCATATTAAGTAAACACAGAAATGTCAAATGATGAATTGTTTGTTTCATCTTAATATTCATACTCTTTTACATGATTTCTGTCGCCCAGACCCACATAATTCTGTTTTCACTCATGCTGTAGGGCCAAGAGAAGCGCTGTTGCTGGGACTAAATGATCCGTTTTCTGATTGTACACAAATACATTGTATTTGGAAAGCTGTGATGCAGGACTACGCTTTATACACAATAAGAGCTGTTATGCATTATTGAAAAGTTGAGCATAATTGTCAAATAATTTGTCTTCTGCAAGTAGCTTGTAATGCACGTGCAACATTCTGCATCAGCACAGTAGACCACAGAATTTTAATATTCTGTATTTATAGCTTATCCTTCCATTATTCTGGGATCATGCTGGAATAACATGGATACAACTTATTAGAAAAAAACATTATTTTCTATAGTGTTTTATATTTTTGGACCCCATTGTAGGTCCTTTATTTGATAACTTTTTCTCATCTATTGTGCACAATGAATGATCCTGGCAGAGCCGACAGGGCAGCAACTTTATACACTTCTCAGACACACTTCACTTCTCTATAGCTCTTTCGTGACATTTTTATGGGATTGTTTTCGCTCACCACTTACACCTCTCAATATAAATTGTTTTGTAGGAGGAAACTTTTTCCATGTAGCCACCATGTGCTATATTTCCCTCACACATTTTCTATGAGCCTGCCCACAAGTCCTCTCACAAAAGTGTTGAAGGGGTGGATTTCGTGTTAATTTTGGCGTATAGTACAGGTCACGGTAATCAAGACGGTAAAATAAAAAACATTAAACAGAAAGTTATTGATTAAGCTCATCAGGGATTTGAACAGGACTCCCATTTATGATGCATTACAGTGTATTCTCCACACAAAAAGCCTCTTTAAAAATGGAATAGCTTTTGAGTATGTTGCTTTTAGCCCATCTAGGGAGAACATAGTCTGTAAATAGGATGTTGCTAGAACTTAAAAGTAGATTGTGTATGCATTTTGTGCCCTAAAGAAATAATGCACTTGTGCATATGGAGTCAGGTGTAGCTTTTAAAGTGTTGTGATGAGTTGAGTTGTGGCATTTTTTTCTTGACTTTTTTTTATCCATGATATCTCTGACACTTGACATTAAGTGATGAGAAGTAAAGAAAGAAACAATACAAAAATAAGGAACTTTGTACAAAGAAAGGATCAAATTGTATACCATGGGATTAAGATCCATTGACATAGTGCTTGCTTAATTTAAAGACACATTCTCTGTGAATTGTTTCATATACAATGGAGAGCTCTGCAAATAGTGTACAATAAAGTGTAAGATGTGGGAAGGCATGAGTCACATGTCATTAAGTCAGGTGCATTAGGTTTCATCATGATGATGATGATGATGATTGAACTTATTAAATGTAATCCTTTTCATAATTTGCATTTTGTATGAGTGTTAAAGGAATGTGTTGAAACTAAAGCAAGTCACACATTTAATAAGGATAACTTTACCTGGTTGGGATCTTGACCCTCAGGTATCGGTCGATGGCTATAGCGAGCAAAGCGAGGATCGAACTTTGGGTCAGAACCAGCACCGTGCACGCCACCAGCAGACAGCTGTAGAAGTGAGTCTGGAGTCCGATACTTATAGTTATCGCCAGTGGGATGACCAGCGCTCCTACTGCAATGTCCGCGAGCGCCAGAGAAACAATGAAGGAAAATGTAGTGTCTCTCAGAGATTTATTCATTTGTACTGCCCAAACCACCATCACGTTTCCTATCACGGATGACACGGCGATCACCACCTCCATGCCCATGTAGAGGGCTTTGGACGCAGAAAACTCCTCGGGCATTCTTCTGTTCGACGATGAATATCCACGCGAAAATGGGGTTTAAAGTGAAAGTGATGTGTAAATTGAATAACTGTGGTCCAGAGAGCAAAATCCTCCCAGCGTTGAGTTGCCCCTCAAAAGAGCAGCGGTTTTCAACACATGCCTATTTACATTTTAAAATGAAACGCGAGAAGAACAAACCCACAAACCATAGAAGTGACTAACAAAATCTTCTGCTAAAAATATCGACCAGTTTCGGCGTTTTCTCCTCGTTTACTACAGCGCCTCTCTCCATTCCACCTGCGCTCGTGCGAGACATGCGCGCGCCACTTATTCATCCCACAATCAAACAAATACATTTCTCCGTGTCACCTACAATTGTCAGGTAGTTCTCTGAATGTCCAATCAATAGTAAAGTAAATTAAAAGACGCACCATATTTGTCCCCGGATAGCCTATGTGAAACAAAATAGCCTATTATCCAGAGCCGGTCGTTTACGCTCCTGTGCTATGCGGTGCCCCATAATAGCTGACGATGGGTAGACCTCTTTGTCTCAAACATACTCGCCAACTTAGCAATTTAATACAATTTGGAGCAAAATAAGTGGAACTAACCCGTGTGGATTCCTTTTTTGTGGTGAAAATCCCAAACCCAGGTCATTCCTTTTTCCTTTGACTGGAGAAAAAAACCCACCCCAGACACCGCGTAGTCTATGGTTCCCTGCTTGAGGATATGTGAGGGACAACCAACATGCGTTTTCTATTTTCTTTCCTCAGAGTTTAACTCGAGATAAAGAGTGAGGCTGAACGTGCCTCTGTTTATAGTGTAATATTAGTGTGCACAATAATAGCCTTTGAGTTATTGTATTCATAAGAGTCCAGGGAAGTGGGAGGTGACAGGCTGATAAGCATGCAGTCAATAATTACACTCAAACGACGCCCCAAACAAGATATTAAAATGTATTGTGAAATATATTTGCAACATTTCAACTAAACGAATAGGTTTAATAATCTACAATAAACTTAATGTGCCTGAGACCATAAGTAAAAAAAAAAAAAAAAAAAAAAAAAAAAAAAACAGTATATGCTCCAGTTATCTCACAAATAAAGCCAGTTTAATGTGGTTACTCAAAAATGATGTATCATGTCCTTGAAAGGTCCTTTTGATGTTTAAGTTTTAAATTGGTGAGACTGGGCTTGTTGTCCCACTTTTTACCTCATTTAATATTTATTAGTATAGGTTCATTTGTTAATGTTTGTTTAAATTGTCACATTAGAACCTGCCATAGACACAGCAAATAAAATATCAAACATAAATGCAAATGTAAAATTTATTTATTTGTTCAACAGACATCATAATTAAACATATATAGGCCTATTTATAAAATATTTATGAAAAAATAAAATGACCAATTCTAGAGCATGTTGTGTTGGTATTGTGGATCAGTGACTAAGCCTCTGTCTGTGGCTGACAAAAATCTCCTGTTTTTGAGGTGAATCATAATGAAATCTTCCTCCATCTGTCATTTCCCGGTCAAATCCCCCCACACATGCAGGGCTTTCAGTCATGGTTTCTCCAGCTTTTGCACAGAACCCCTCCACAATTCAGGTGATTTTATCAAGTTGAAAAATTCATGGCATGAGAAAGCTGACCGCAGTGGCAGTCTCATTTCCATAAGAGAAGTTTCTGGATGATCCATCAGGCGCCGTAAATCCATTCATGCACTTCACACAGAATTACAACATTTATCGTGTTGATTCTGGGAAAAGGGACGCCACATGAGTGAGTCGTCCATGACTACACAGGAAGAACTTTTATAAAGCAGTATAAAGTTTGCTTTATTGGCATGACAAATATTTGCACAGTATTGAACAGTGTTTCCAGCTGATATGCTCTCAGATAAAACAATATAAAACAAATTTAGAAGAAACAACACATTTCTTTTTTATCATTTAAAAAAAGTATTTTAAATAATAAATAAAAAGGACATTGAAAAAAAACATCAGTTAGTGATTCATGAAATGAACTATGTGGAATTTTGCAATTCTCCAATGTGTAACAATAGTCTATAAGTCTATAGTCTTGTGTTCTATAAGAGCAAGTTCAGTGTCTAATGATAATGTTTTTTTTTTTTTTCATTTATTTTTTATATAATACACAACTGGCACTAAGGGATGACAAAAGCAATCAACAATCAATCACACAAACAAACAGACTGTTTGGGATTCTCAAGATAATATAAGGGTGTTTCTTTTGTTTTGTATACTGGATTACAATGGGAAATCTTCCAGGCTCTTATCAAAGCTGTTCAACTTGTTTGTTGGCATAGAGCGCAGGCCGAAGGGTCATATGCAGGGGGTTAGAGGTCAGAGAATTAAACAAAGAGCCCAAATCATATTCTTACATATGGTGATGGTCCCTAATTCCTAAGCAATAATGACACATATCATTTCAATGAATATTTTATATACATAAATATTATTTTTGTTAAAATATAAATGGTTATTATTACTGTTATTATGTTATTTGATCATTTTTGTCACTCTGTATAGGTTGTCTTTTGCATCTTATTTTTATTATAAGCTGCAAAGACTTTGGATATAAAATAAATTGATCACAAAATAGTGCTGAAAGAAAAAGATTAGGAACCTTTTTCAGTATAGGCTCCCTAACTCCTACATTAATTTCTGAAATGTGGTCTTCCAAAGGCAATGACAAAAATAGACAAACACAATTTACCTAAACAAATAGCACCCAAACTGTTGCCCATGCTGTGCTTCTCAAACATTGTCTAAACATTTACCTAAATGGTGTCCAGCTCCTCTCGACTGACGTTAGGATAACAATCACATCTAACGTGCCTTTCTCTTCATTTACAGTATTCAAATAAAGCAGAACTGTTTTACATTTTAATCAACCTGACGGCAGTCTTGGCACGAATATGTCCCTGATCCACCTTGAATATCCCAAACATTGCAAGAATCTCCACCCTATACAAGGCACGAATCGAGTGATTTCTCTGAAATCGCATCTGAAAATGTGATGTAAGCACTTTTGTAACCGCAAGGCCATCCCCCTGAGACTCGTTTGCGTAGATTTTAATGGCTGAGCCATTTTGTGCCCAGCTCCATATAATCCATACGCATGCCTAAAAATGCTTTGAGGATGAGTTGTAGTTATTAAGCAGACATAGACGTGCAGATCTCGGTGTTTCTCTTGCTTCCAGTCCCTCCCTAAGGAACATTTGCTATGTCCACAGTTAGAGAGCAGCACTTTACCAAGATCAGTATTTGTCTATTCACCTTAATGACCCACTCAATCCACACTGCTGGGCTTTCTTTGGCAAACATCTGGGCTTTGCACTGTTGAAGTTGACATGATTAAACACTTGTCAGCCGGTTCTATTTCAGTCTCCTTCAACAGGACCTCTCAAGACCTATTAACACCATTTGCCTTTAAAAGCGACTATCAAGAGATAATCATGTCATAAAGGACTGACTCTTAAGTCCCTACGGAGACATGCACTTTACAGCCAAGCATCAGATCATTTACTTACTAATTTAATTACACAGTTCCTAAAATCATGTGATCATGACAGGAAAAGCCTTACTTCAAGACTATACCTGTTTTACAAAATACATGTTTTGGTTGTTTATAATCGTAATTTGCTTTATGGGTGTGTAATGGTAGAGCTTGATGCCCCTTTTCAGCACTGTGTTAGGACAGTCAGTATTGAACGTATTACCCTATAGTTCTGATCCTTGATTCTGATTGGCAGAGCTGCGTTCCAGCTCCAGATTGTCGATATACACTAGGTTTGCATCCTAGGTTTTTAAGAGCAAAAAATCATATGTTCCTGGGAAACTGGTGCAACATTTCTGTAATAAAAAGTAGAAGTTGCTGCAATCGGGGAGCTGATGTGGCTTCCCCCCCTAGAAATAAATAACATTTCAGAATGATCAAACCAACATTTGACATGCTGTGCAATGAAATTGGTGTGGTGGTTAGTCCAGTTATCCAACCAACCAGTTATCACATCCACTGCTGAGCAAAAGTTATTATTATTTTTTTTTTTTTTGGACTTTGGGTAAATGTGTTTCCATCGCATTTTTTGAGCATGTCTTCTTATCGGATAAAGACAATACGGTAAACAGTTTGATGTGCAATTTTAAAAAATGCGCATCTTGCTGTTTTCATTCAGCTTTTTTTTATGCAATATCCCAAAATACACATAATAGTTTTATGGTGGATGGAAAACGCTAATGGTAATGTGACTTTTCACTGTTTATCCACTTTGTTTTAACATATGGGGGGGCATGCCCATTGTAACTAGTCAATTAGAATCCATCTGACTTTAAAGAGCTTTAGCGATAACAGCAGCTAGTGCTTAGAATAAACAGAATGTTATCGTCATTGATGCGGATGCCGGTAATATATTAATTGAGACTTATTGCTGGTGGGACTTAAGTGGTGAGGAATTGCTTTCTATACATTACGTTGTTAGGCCAACAGTTGAAGTTGAGTCATTTACTCAATTCATTCAAAAACACTGATTTATTCAGGAAATAAACAAGTGAAGTCATTCACTCAATCGATTCATCCAAAGTAGATATATTCAGGAACCAATCACAACCTCTTGTGTGTGGCTTTGATACGTACAGTGGTGAATTCTACTTTGACATTGTTTGGAATGATTTTTGTTAACAGAATGACATTTGTGTCTAAAATGAAAGTTGCTGGAAAGCTTTTTGAATGGTTGTATAAAAGCAATATCACTATGGTTCAATCGAGTTGTTAGTCGTGATTACCAGCGGCAAAATGCCTTTGAAAAGCTTGCCTAAAAGCATTAACTAAAGTTGGAAATAATTCTAAATTAATGAGATATTTCCCATGACTGTTGACATATATCAGTGACTATAAATACTTGTTTAATTACACATTCCAGCTTCTGCTTTTTAAAGTGAAGAGTGTGACCTCTTGAAGAGCTGCCAGCTCTCCTCTCCACTGGTCTGGATATGAACTGCCAGATTTTTCTCTATGAAGAGTGAGAGCAGCTTGTCATCACATAAAGCTAGAAAAATCAGCAGATGGTCCCTCAGCAAGACCACTAGCAGTTATAAAAACGAGGACATTTTGTAGAGAACATTTTTTTGACTGCATTTTCAGAGCCTCAAAGGGTAACCATTGCTCATTTTCTACCTATACCTCATCACAGCACATCATGATTTATTTTATTTAATCTTTTGTATTTTGTATTTAGTTTATTTTAATAGTTTTGTGTATTAGAATATTTGATTTGATTTTCTCACCTAGTCAATTGAAATTTCAGTCAGGGCTCTGTCCTAAATTGCCAATTTTCTACTTCATTCTGTCCATAACAGGAAGCCGGATGACGTGGTTTTTCGAGGGAGGCTATTACTGCACTTCATCTCTGGGAATCATAGAATTCGTGGTTGGGGGTCTATGACTTGACTGTATTTTTCTCAGTAGCACAAAGAGATGGCAGGAAAGAGGCAGAACGATGCTGTAGGTCATCATGCAGAGCTTCGTTTGTACCATTCACCAAGCAGGATTATTGCCTTAAGGCCCATTTCTTTAATGTTGCCTCATCTAAAAAAAACCCTTTCTCCTTGTTTTGCTCTCTTTTTAACTCACTAACATACATTCACATGGAGATGCACACTCAGTCTATTCATGAAAATCAAATATTGTATTAAGCTGCTGCGGCAGACCAAAAATTGCAGATGTATGTTTTAGAATGAATGAGTTTACACGCACAATCTTACATTGATTTGTATTAGGTCAAAACCTGCTGGATATGTTTTTCTCATTATCCAGATTTAACTTGCCATGACACACTTCTATCCAAGAAAATCTATAATATCTGGCAAAAGCTATTAGTTAGCATCCCCAATTCATTTCAATGGCATTTGCCATTGACACATGTTTTTAGTGCAGAGGTGATTGATATCAGGTATACTTCGATTCTCTCGGAGACAGATACTCGAAGCACCGTTTGTTCATAGGAATGAGAAGCAGCATGTCGCAAAGAGATTCGTAGTCATTATAACACATAAAGGCGTGCCTTCTCTTTGCTGTCGTATCGTTCGTTTTATTAGCAATAAAATCTGATCAGACGTAACAGAATGGAAGCAACCTAACAAATGTCTCCTGGCTGC